GATCGGTGAAATTGGGGGCATATCATCTGCTGATGGCGACCCCATAAACCGCAACAAAAAAAAAACAACAACAAAAAACTTCCGTCCAGGGGACTGGTACTCCAGCTAGTTGCTATTAAAGTAATATCCGATTAGTTCAGTTATATTCTGCCTTTTAGATTGGTACATTAACGCGTACATTGATGGTAGGGGGTGTATATCGTTTATTACCATAAAAATAATTATTACTGCTTAAATCAGCTGGTTCTCTTGGCTGACAAAGTTGAAATTTAGATACGTGAAACAAACACGTTAACTACTTTGTGCACTATTCATCTGTGTGATATTAATTTTAATTCTGACGTGTCCTTTAATATCAATTTTTCTCAATAAATACTTTTTTACCGTTATCTATAAATAACTCACTACTACAGCTTCTAATTTCTAAGAAATTTCTATTTTCGAACGTTTCAGTTTTTGTTATATATTGTTACGTATCTGCTTATTTGTTAATTTGTCTATATCTTCAATCTTTCTGCCTATATATCTCTTCGATCGCGATGGTTTTTCTCGCCAGGCTTATATACTAGAAAGAGGGCGCCTCTCAAACACTAGGACATTGGCGGGGTTCCTCGATAAGTCATGATCTTTCTAGAAACACGTCGCGTGACTTCCGCTGTCGTAACAATATTTCATTATTATCGATCTATTTCTGATTTGTACATGTATTTCTTATATATATATATATTTATTTATACTAAATAGTTATCTCTAGTCTAATTGCTCCTTTCCCATATATATTTCATAGATAATTATATACATTTTCTTACTCTTTTTGTTCCCAACTACTTTGTTTGGTTTACATACCTTCTTCTCATATACGTTTCCTTCTTCACTTGCCCCCCCCCCCCCCCCAGTGGCACAGCAGCATGTCTGCGGGCATAAACCGCTAGAAACCAGGTTTCGATACTCGTGGTGGGCAGAGCACAGATAGCCCATTGTGTAGCTTTGTGCTTAATTTTAAACAACAACAACCTTCTTCACTTACTTTGAAAACCTAAGATAATCAATCCATCATAATAAGCTATTTTAACCACATTAACAAGTGTTGTCGGGATAACCTATGTTAGCCACATTACCAAAAATCACTTTAATACCCAACATAATCCATTATGATTCATGTTTTCAGGGTAATCTATGGTAGCCAAGCTACCAAAAATTACTTTAATACTTAAAATAACCTATCATGACACATGTTAGCAGGGTAATCTCTGGCAGCCACATCACATCATCAATGAAATTCATGTTTTAATTTTCTTTCTCTCTCAGTTGAAAAGCACTAAGGATAAAATGTTTGATAATTGTGTATAAATTATTCTTTTGTTCTTATGTGGCCCACAAATATAATTTAATTATCATTAACTGTCCATTATTTTGTTAAAGATCATCCGAGAGATAATTAATCGTTATCTGGCTATGTCTACAGGAATAGGGACATTTAACTATTCAAACAGTTTAACTTTTACATGGATCATCCATAAGGAAGTCTATCCACAATTAGTTCAAGATACAAAATAACCAGCAGCATATTCCAAGATCAATTTATCACAAATATATTACCTATCCCAATGAATGGATTGCGCTTGGGTAATAGGAAAAGGTTATTAAAAAAAAAAAAGACATTAACAGCCAATAATGTTCCAAAAACTTTATTATACAAAACCTGTTATTAATTTTATCACAAACATTTATTCTCACTCACAAAATATTTACTTTTTTTGAAAATTTGTATATATATTTTTTCTTCTTCTTTTAATTCTTGATATATATTACACAGGCCTCCATGGTACAAATGGCCAAAGATCTGGTGTCTAGAATGTTTAAATTTTGTACTTTCTGTAAACCATCTGGCAATATTTCTTTTCTCAGCTTTATTCATATTAAGCAACACACTGTTAAAACAGACACCATTTATATTTTTAATACCCCACTATAAGTAATCTCAATTACACAGTCAAAATATGCATCCAATTAGAAAAACCAAACAAAAAAACTACAATCAGTTGTATGAATCTTTGATGTAATTATCCTCATAAAATTCAAATGAAATTAATCTTTACATTATGCTTTACATAATTTATCGTCAAAAAGGTGCATTTTTTTAGAAACCTACAATGTTTTAAAATCCAAGAAATTGTAGTCTTCATATAGCAATATCACGATCATAAGTGTTAAGAATGAGTACATTTTAAAACGAAATGCTACATATTTCAAGTTGTTGTTTTTTTTATTCACTTTGATTTATATTTTGTTTTTTCAAGAAAACTTTAAAAGATAGGCCTGCAGGGGACTGAACTCCTTCACTTTTATGGAACTAAATTAACACTGTTTTCATATCCTAGCCATTGCATTTACGGCTTAAGCTTAATGACAAATAATCCTACAAATAAAATTTAGTCATGCTTTCAGTTCTATATCTGTATTTATGGTAAAACTATCTGCTACTGTCCCTAATTTTGTATTACTGACAAAAGAGATGGCAATTAATCGGGTGCACTCTACCAATAATGCCAAGGAATTGAGTTCACTCTTACAATGCATCCACAGCTTAAGTGTGGGGATTATTTTATGGTGTTGAACAGATTCAAGTCCCACTCACCAGAGCTTTACCACAGTGCCAATCAAACCCTCTTTCAGCTTAGCTTGCACCATTTTGTAGGAAACATTTTTATCACTGATTAGGGTAAAAAAAACTTTTATCATGCAATTATAATGAAGTTTAGTACAGTTTTGGTATTAATAAGCATCCAAACTTAAATGGTTTTGCTTAATGATTTAAAAGTGAAGAATAATATAATATATCTTTAATCGTGCTATTTACAAAACACCAGAATTAATGTTCATGTTTTTCTACTTTGGTAAGAAACATGTGGTGCTGTTCTACAAAAAACAATTCATAAGGTAAACAGAATTTATTATTAACTACAAAGATATCTCTATTAAAACTTAATCAACCAAAACATTTCTGGGAAGATTTTACAAAATGGCAAGAAAAAAATTGTGTGAGTGTTAACTGTTTCTGTACTTCAATTGCTAAGAAACAGACATGTATCAAGTAACTGAAACAAAATATATCCTTAGTCAGAACCATCAGAACTGGTGCCATAGTTTATTGTCAATATATTTTCTCTCCTTCCCCCCCTCTCTCTCTGTCTATATATATGCATGTATGTATTAAGCTTTCAACATAAACAACCAATAAATAATTATGCATGTCTGGTTGAAATATATATTACAAAGTTAGTGTTTGATCTTTCTTTGGTATTACTTTTACAGCCAATCAAAGCTGGAAACCAAAGATCAGAGTAAAAGAATGGATTCAGGTATTATTAGATATTTAATACAAATACAGCTTAGGAGATACCACCCCACAATATCAATGAAGATGATTTATCAAAAATGGAGAAAAAAATTACACTAAAACTTTACGATTGGATAATTTAATGTAATAACAAGTCTACAAAAAAACTAAATTTTGCTAAAACAATTTTTGAAAAAAAAACTACTAAAAAAAGTATTTTACCTGTTGTTGTTTTTATCTTGTATGTAAACTAAGTGGAGTTTGAAATTATGAATAAAAAATTCAGGTTACTGCTGACGATACAAATATAAATTTTCAGTTCAATAAGTGTTACAAAAATATTCTAAATGGGCCAAGATATATTTATACCATAAGTTTGTTTACAAAAAAAGATATTTTAAAGTATTACAGGATAGATATGTGATAGGGTGGACCTTTAAAATACATGTGACAAAATGCAGTTTCTTAGAACAAAGCATACTTCTTTAATATCTATGAAGATATATCATTATATTGAATTACAATGTTTGTTTGGTATATTAATCAAACAAAAAACGTCCATTTGCTTTATGAAATACTACTGAAACTGATCAAAAAAAATTATCATTAATTTATAATTTTACCATTTTTAATTTATCTTACAATTAACTTCATAAATCAGCCACAAAACATATTGTTAGCCTAATAATAATTGATATAAAAATTTCTTTTGACACATCATCAAGTTACTGTCCCGTTTCTAGCAAAAACTCTTCAAATGCTGCTTCCATTTCATCATCCATATTTTCAGCTTCCGGATCTTCACCCCTAATGAACAAAGGCATAATAAAAATAATTAATTAATGGGGTTTGAGAAGAAACCTTTGTTTTAAGGCACAAATTTATGAGTTACATAGTTATGATATATTTTTGTATAAGCATCTTATTCATGTACATATCAGTAAATGATAATGTAGTTCGTAGTTCTATTCAAAAATACTTTAATTTTATAAAACAGAAGATGCTGTTACAATATGAACTCAAACAAACTTAGATATTCTAATCCATCAATGCTGCTGTAAACAAATTATTATCAAACAAACTACACTAGGTCATTTCATAACCTAGCAGCATAGTTTTCTGTTTGAAAAATAGGGCACCCTGTTCTGTGAAGGTAGTAGTTTCGTATGGTGTTTCTCACACTCCAAATTCTGTTGGAGGTGAGTATCCGGAGAGTAGGACTTACGTCCTAGTTCGGACACCGGGTGAGCATGTTTCGGTATGACGGGGATTCGAACCCACGACCCTCAGATTGCAAGTCGAGTGCCCTAACCACCTGGCCATGCCAAGCCTGTTCTTTGAAGGTGAAACAAGGTATACGTGGTAAGTAAGATATAAGTAGGAGATGACTTTGTTCTATAAATATGAAACAAGATATACATGTTGAGGTAAAACATAAATAACTTTGTTCTATAAATATGACCCAACATATAGATGGTAAGATAAAAGAGGCAGATGACATGCTATAAATATGAAAATGTATACAGAAGTAGAAAGTGACAAGCTGTGAGATTAAGACTTATTTATAATTTTGTATGTAAATGTAGACACACTCACAAATATACACACACAAACAATAAATTAATATTTCATGTTTTATGAGGTAAAGTTTTGGAAAACAGTTTACTTCAAGTTTATTTTATTATTCCACAAAAAAAAATCAGAATTTTTTTCAAATGAAACTCATTCTGTTGAAAGGCTGGTAATAAGAAAACATTCTGAAGTAAAATTGAACCATTCAAATCTGAGTAGGCATAAAATAAATAAATATGTATACATCAATTCAAGAATGTGGGAACTTTTCAATTATAATTCCTTGATGTCATAGAAAAGCTGTAATGAAAATAGTTTCAAATTAAAAAAAGCTGGTTCAAAGAACAAACAGAAGACAGAAATATCACACAACAATGGGATAAGAAAACTTTAGAGATACAAAAGCATTTTTTGGTCACCAGAATAAAAGGTTTAATTACAAATCTCCATCACTCTTAAAGGTCTTATATAGAGATAGCAATGACAAATTAATGTTTCTCAATGAAATGAAAACAAAATTACTTAAAAAAAAGGTTTAACATTTACATTTTCCAATAAAGTAAATGAATTTGACTTATGTAATAATATTCATGACCTTAAAAAAACGTAGGTTAAAATCATTTTTATACGGGACAATTCTTTTCATTTTCTTCTTGTTAAGGCTCTCTCTCTCCTTTTGAATCCCCAAAAGGTAGAAATGATTTTTATATAAACAGATTGAAAACTGATTATAAAGCTAATATTTGACTAGATGAACAGAAAGCCTTGAATTCTTTGAGAAATTCAAAAATTGTTTTTCAAAAAAGTAATAAAAGTGTATCTTTTCTTATGGAAAAATTCCTTTAGTATAATACTGTTTTGGAAAATTTAAGATATAGTAACTTTTATGAAAAATATCTTTACAATTCAATTAGTTTAAAGAGTTAAGAAAAGCTTAATGGTGCTTATACAAAAATATGTTAACGTATTTGCTACAAAATAATTGCAAAATCTGATCGCAAAATTGGTCATTTCTATGTATGACCTAATGTAATGAGTAAAAATATGTTCTTGAAATACAAGCTTGTGAACATTAAAGGTTGAGTGCCCCCCCCCCCCTCCCCAAGATTTTGAGAAGTCTTATAGTCAATGAGTGGAAGAAGTTTACTTAATCTCCAATAAAACCTTTCATCCAGTTAGAATACAGCAATATAAAAGATAATAGGGATTTTATTAATAAACTTCCAAAAGAGGTGAGGCTAATCATTTATTAGTTCCATAAACTACCTAAAATTACTTTCTTTAGTTTAAATGGAATTGTTGGGTTTTTACTCTTTAGGATTATTTTCCATATGCAGTGTTTTTGTACTACTTTTCTTTGTCAGTATAACTATTAACTTACAGTTCTGATGCTATTATACCTATAACAAAATTTTTAAACCTTTTTTAAATTTCTGTTCTTCCTACATTGGTAATTTTTACTTTAAGGGTCTTGTAGTGTGCTTTTAAATTTGAGATGCTTTTTGTTTTTGCCATGTATCAATGTTGCCATGTTGAAACGTTAACAAGATACGAGTGTGAACCAAAATCAAAAAAGCTTGAATCAAAAGTATACTTGCTGAATGGAAAACCCAAAAAAAAATAGAGAAATTTTTTTTTTATCTGTATAAATATAAAATTATTCAATAACAAATTACCTAAAATTATATATGGTAATCATGAAAGTTTGCATTTCTTACAAGCTTCAAGAAGAACCTTTATATTATTATAATTCAAATTGTAATCCAGATGTATATAATATATAAGTATTATTATAACCTTACACTTTCATAACTTCATATCTTTAACATTACTATTTCAAGGTAATATCATTGTTTACAGAACCCCAGTTACCATAAATAAATTTTACTTTACAAGAAGCATGTAATGCTTGAATGTTTATGAGGTGAAAAACTCACATTCTATTTCATTACTGTAAATTTCTTACTTTAGATGTCCTTACTATATAAAATATCAAACGTACACATAAAATCCATTCATTATACTTGAAAAGCCATCGAGGTTGCATGAATTTTGTAACAAGACAACTTCTTCTAAGGAAATTGGCTGTTCATCTGGTCCATAAAATACTGTGCTATACTAGAAAAGACAAATAAAAATAACTGAACATGATCCTCCAAAATCTACAATGTAATGTACACACTAGAAGTTTAAAATAAATAAAAATTATCCAGTATCGCTTAACATGTTACTACAGCGTAATAAAGATTAGCTTTCTGTGAAGTACTATTTCAATCAAAAATATTTTAATTATTATAAAATCACAGCACTATAATAAATTCATAAAATTTTAAAAGGAGCTTATTAGCCCTTCCAGCTTCCAACTATAACTACCCCTCACTACTCACACATTCATCCAATCTTTTCTTGAACTCAGTTATCTTTTCTGCCTCCACCACCCTTGAAGGCAGCTCATTCCAAAAGCTAACCACCCTGTTTGAAAAGTAATGTTGTCTAAACTGCAGATGACTCCTACGCTGCTAAAATTTGAATTTATGACTCCTTGTCCTATTGTTTTCACTGCTAAACTCAAAAAAGTTTGATGGATCTATATTATCAATACCCTCAATAATCTTAAACACCTCAATCAAATTCCCTGTGACCCTTCTCTTCTCCAGAGAATACCAGTTTAGATATTTTAGTCTCTCCTCAGAACAATCCCACCATCCCAGGTATTATCCTAGTGGCTCTTCTCTGAACCTTCTCCAACAATTCAATGTCCTTCCTGAGAAAGGGAGCCCAAAACTGTACACAGTACTCTAAATGAGGCCTTACAAGTGATCTATACAGTGAAACAATAATATCCCTTGTCTTGTATTTGATATTTTTATACATACTACCCAAACTCCTATTAGCCCTACTGCTAGCTATGATACATTGTTTAGATGACTTAAGAGAATTTTCAATCACAACACCAAGATCTTTTTCTTCAACCACAGTACTTAATGTTTTCCCATTTAAATTCTAATACTAATTTGAATTGTGAAAACCTACATGCATCACCTTACATTTTGGATATTTAAACATCATCTGCTACATACTGACCCAATGCATCAAATGATCTAAATCTCAGTGCAAGTTTGCAGCATCTTTGATACAGCTAGCCACCCCAAAAATCTTAATATCATCTGCAAACTTGCAAATTTAAGATGAAAAAAATTATTTCATATTGTTTTAAGCCACATAAAAACTCAGTTAGGATATCTGTTTTGTACAGAAAATACACAAATTCACTCAATTGTTCCACTTTAAGAAGAGTAAAAAATGCTGACTTCTGATAATTCCAGGTTAGCTACAGATTCTTGATACAACTGCTAATTTCCTCCTAAATCATCCATTTCAGCAGTAATATCCTGTTTTATCAATACATTGATATTCATCTGATAATTTTCATGGTCTTGTTGTCTGGTGTTTGTTTAAACCATTTGGCTGACCACCTAATGATCAATGTAATCCATTCCTTTACACAGCAAGAGCAAGTAAACTTGTGTAGGATATCTGACTGCTTATTTTAAGAAAATATATATCTAAAACCAAACATTTTATCCAGTATAAAAAGGTTTTAGAACCAATCTTATATGTATAACTGGATATACTCTATCTACAACATTGGTTAACTTTTTCTCAGCACAAAGAAAATAATAAAAACAGAGTTGTTAGAAATTTGATAAGTAGCAGCTTTGTTAAAAATTTCAAGAGGTAGGTAATTCTTTTTCTTGAAAATAAATTGGTGAAAGTGTATATTAATCAGGCATTTACAAATTCAACTAGTTATAATTTATTGGAAGCAAAAACAAAGATTAGGAATTTTTTTTAACTCAACAAATTTATTACAATTTATACAGTAAATACTGCTTCAAACTTATGAATAAGTTAGTTCTAATGTACTATAAATGTTGAAACCTTTCTACTACCATTCCATACATCATTGTGTGTAAGTTAAAAAAAAGATAGCTATCCTATTTGGAAAAGTATATCCACAGACAGAAATTAGTTGTTTCAAAATCTGATTTAAAATAAAAAATACTGTTTTCTTTGAATGATGGAAATTCCAAGAATAAGCAGCTGTCATTTTCAAATTTACTTGTCCAAAATATTAGTCACAGTACTTAAAATCCACCACTACGTGGATATCCATTCACTTGAAAGATTTGTTTGTAGTTAAGCACAAAGCTACACAATGGGCTATCTGTGCTTTTCTTACCACAGGTATTGAAACCTAGTTTCTAGCATTGTAAGTTCACAGACATACCACTATGCCACTGGGGGCCTCACTTAAAAAAAACACACTAATAAGCATAGAAAATACATTAAGTATGAATGACAGTACAATGTTTATGTTGTATCATATGATACGGTACAGGACAAATAATAGTTAAAAATTTGAAAGCATTAGAAGTTAGCCATGAATTAACAGAGCTAACCTTTTCCCTTTCTCTATTCTTTTTAACATTAATTTCATATGTTCACTTTTACTCTTTACCTCCAGTAAATTTAGGGTTAAGAAAAAGTTACGTTAGTCATTTCACAAAAATTATTCATGGCCTAATTTTGAGAAGAAGTTATGAAAGGGCCCATACCAGATAATTATCTGTTATTAAAGGATCATTTTGCTCTACAGGTGAAGACTCTGTTCTAGCCCAGTCTGAGGCTCTCAACTCCACAATGGACATCAGTAGGTTCTTAGTGTTACTGAAAAATAACCATCATCAAGAATAAAAGATCCACAGTGGTAGTTTTGTAACACTTCATGTATAACTTTTAATTGCTTTCTTTACAATAACAATGTTTCACACATACAACCAGTAAGAATAACAACAGCAAGTTTATGTAACAAATAACACAAAATTATATCTTAAACTTATGTACTTTCATAAGAAACTGTAATAACTGCAGCTGACATGATAGGAGAGGCTATGCACATGGACAATATTGATAGGTTGATGACTAGTGTAGGGGTTTCTTATTCAATGCTATCAGAAAGTTTGCTTATAAGTGAAGTCAAGATGGAGGTGAAGTCCTCTAGCTGATGCTCAGTCAGCAGGTTAGTTACACATTTAAATAAAGGTAGAGATTTGTATTTAAAATAAGGGAATCACAAAGGATTTATTACTTAAAATTGGGAACACTTTTGGTCTGTAATTATATCGATGTGTGCTTCCCCTTTTAGGACAACTTTTAATGTCACATGGGATATTTTCACTCATAAGTACTTGTAGAATTTAAAATAAAAATCAATGATTATGAAAGTTCAGTACAATGTTTCTGTCCTGCACAGGTATGTATTATTAAGCTTATGAGCGAGAACACTCAGTTAATACAGAATAAATTGGCTTTACAATTTGTTGACAATTACCTAGTGCTTTGTATTTTTGGTAGAAGGAATAAGTCACTATTAGTCACTTTATCAAACTTTTTCATCCCAAAATTTTGAAAAAAAGTTATGAAAGCACATACAAGGGTCAGTTTCTGGGATGTTCAATATAGCCATACAGATTAATAAGAATAAGTAAGGTAAATCTGAGTACAATATACAGACGCCTTAAAAACATTGCAGGTTTGGCAGAAGTTTGAGACACCATACATATGTATATTCTCCATCTTTGAAGCTATCATTTATTACACAATACAATGCTTCCATCATTCAACAAGTATTAAATTTATGCTTAAATTCATTTTTTAACAATTAAATATTTTTATTTCCTGAAGGACTAGTGACTGATTATGCAAGTGATGATCTTTTCAGTAAAAGTAATTTATTAAACACATCTGCTACTATACCATAACTAAAATAGCCTAATTCATGCATTTCATTATTTGTCCAAATTCTTAAAAAAAATGCATCCATTTAAGATTGATGATCTTGTTTTACCTTTTACTGAAACAAAGAGCTAAGTCAAGCTCTTTTTTTTTACTACCAAATTTTTGAAATACAAGTTTGGTTCTAAAGCTCACATGTGTTGCATCTTTCTTCCTGTTAAATGTTAGAAACGTACAATGAATATATAATAAGCCTTTTCACAAGATTTATATAAATCATGCAAGTAAATCATCTCTACACTAATAATATCAATATACCAATATTAATGCTATTTTATACAGCTAGACAATGATGTTGCATATATACTATACAGTGACATCGCTAGCACAAATTACCAACAACTTCTGATAAAAGTAAGCTATCTATATAGTTCAGAAGTAAACATTAACCAAGTAAATAACGTAGCTATTTTAGTATATCAGTTTAACCAAGAGTGTGTAACTTTATAAAACAAAGCCTACAAAGAATAGAATGTAATGACTCATCAGGTGGGTACCCTCTCTACTGTTGGAAGTTTTGGCTGTACTCCAAACAATATCAATACTAAGCTAACAATGCAAAATAATCCTCATAATAAAATAAAATAAATAATAAGTAAAATGATAAAATGTTATATGTATATGTTAAACATTTTAACCAATAATGATATTGAATCTTAACATTAAAGAAAGAATGGAATATAACTTTACTTATAACACATATAAACTAATTTGTTTCATGTATTATTAGATTTCCTGTTCCTTGAAAAGCACAACACTAGTATATCAAAAATGTATACCATTTCTCCCATTCATACAGTGTCTTGTAGCCAATGAAAGTTCATTATATTTCTCTGACATTGTAATTCAGACTGGCTTAACATCCAAGACAAATGGCTATCACATGTATTGCTGCTTAGCTATAATTGAGTAACAGGATAGTATAAACGATGAAGCACAAAACTAATGTTCATTTTGGTAAAAATAAATTAAATGAATACTAATGTAATGGATTTAATAGTAAAATTATTAGTATTATAATTAAAAAATCTAATTGAGTGCAGTAAAAAAGTTTCTGAACATATTATGAGCTGTGCACTTTACCCACAATGTTTCTCCATGCTATATGCTGGTAGCTCTTAACCATCACCACCAAAAAATAAAAAACGTTTCCATTTGCATTGGTATTTAACCCAGAACAGTGCTTTATTCAATACCTGCAAAACATTCAAGTCAGAATCCAAAGGTTCAGGCAAATCTGAAGTCAGAAGTACTGACCAGAAGGACAATCAACCAGTCAGCAGCAACCACTGCCTACACAGCTACTCTTAACTGAACAGTGGGATTGGCTAAAATTATGAAGTGAGTTGAGCAACATAATAACCACCACATCACAATTGGCCCTATGCTTAAATTAACATATAAAAACAAATATTTCCCTTTTCAAGGTGGTTTTAAAGAAAGCACAAATCCCCATGCTAGATATGCTGACATCACAATACTACATCTTCTATCCTGCTTAAAGCAAATATCTCAACATCCTTAGAATTATATACCATACATTAATTTGAAATCAAACATTCCTAAAAGTACACCTTCCAAGTATATTTTACACACTCTAATTCAAATCTGATATAGACAGTTGTGGGACAGAAAAAACAAACAAAATAATGTAATTGAATACAAACTATATAGAAAAGTAAAATCTCTAAGAAGGTTATCTAATTTATATATATAACAAAAACAACACAACACCATAAACGTTTGACATTCAGAACACCTTGCACTTTTCCCTTTGCACCTAGGGGAAAAAAATGATAATAAACAGTGGAATTCGAAGTGAATGATCCAAATCACTTCACCTAAAGACAGCTCTTTCATCTTGAATCAATAAAACTTTCCATTCAAAAATAACTATTCTAATCACAGAAAAAAATAATATTGATCAGAAAATGTTATAAATAAGAAACAAAACTATTAAAAATTTCAAGATATTTTTTTTCTTTTATAGATTTGTCTGTAACAGCATTTCCCAAACTGAGAAAAAACTTATGGAACACCAGACACCTGAAATATCAGTGTAGAAGGTATGATTCACATGCAGCGCCCTCTATATTTGTACATTATTCATTTACTTATATAATCTAATTACATATTAATGAATTTTTAAATTTTTATGCCTATAATATATTTTAGGTACAAACCTCTCCACTAAGATATTATGTAGAATAGATATGGTATTTTCTATAATTCTTCTTCAATGAGAAATAGATATTATCTAATTATAATACATAGGAAAATATTTCATAATAAGTTATGATCGTACAAAAAGTGTTAATTATTTTATTAAAATTTAAAATCATGATTTTCTCACTGAGCATCTATAAATCTCGGATGGAACACCAGAGTTCAGCGGAACAAAGTTTGGAAAATGCTGGTCTATAACATCAAAATTATAATAATGTGAAAATCATACTAACATGGTAAAAAGAACAATAAAGTTTGTTTATTGTTAAGCACAAAGCAGGTCTTTTTTGTGAAATAAACTACATGCGTGTGTGATCGCACAAGTACTTAGAATGATGCATTATAAAAGAGAAATAACAAGAAAAGATTTAGTGTTTAACGTTATGAATATTTGCATTATAATAGAAAGAGTCAGCAGTTGTATAAAAAGTATAAAATAAAGAAACTAAACAATACTACAATAGGTTTATTTTAAATTTGATTTTCTTCTTCACTTTTTACTGGATACACCTCAGAATCATCACATACATTCATTTCTAAAGTCTTGTATCCAATAATTTCAGATTTCCTGTAACCTTGCAACGTCTCAATTCAATTCTATTGCTTTTGGCTGTCATCTTTTTTGCTCCTTCATGAACAACCACAGTGAATTAAAAAATCTTTTACTATGCCATTTCATTGATAACACATTTTTGCTTTTTTCAGGAGTATTTAACATTTTAATGTGACATAACTATGGCCATTCACAGGTACAACAAACAGTATGCATAATTAGATTTGCAGATGTGAATATGCACATTCACAAAAAACACATGTCAAACAAAAAGGACTGACACACCTATATAATGGGCTATCTGTGCTGTACTCACTATGGGTATGAAAACCCAATTTTTAGCATTATAAGCCCTCAGACTTTGAGCCACCAGAGGGGGACTACTTTCAATGCATAGTAGATTATGAGAACTGTCTTAGAAAAGTATAAAAATATGTTTTTATCTTAGATATCATTATAAATATACTTAGCTTGTAAGAATATGTTATTACCACATTATGTAATACCACTTTTTATTTAATTTTACACAAGTAAAATTTATTATTTCCTGTAATTATAGTTCATGTAAAAGCGTGTTTCATGCTTAAATCACTGCACTACATAAAGATATAAAAACATTATGAATAACAAACAGAAAAATATAATACAATAATACAAGAGTATTCTGAAAATACAGTATAATATCAAGCATACAAAAGAATGGGTTTGGTAATAATACCATTTTCAGTAAACACCCACAAAGCAATTGAACAAAATAACTTTAAATAAATATCAACTGAGTAAGTGCGAGATTTCCATAAAGTCTGTACAAATGTAGAATAATAACACTTACTATTTGTCAGATGGTGCAGACTGTTGAAAATAAGAACCACTGAGCAAAAGTACAAGAAAGTATGTTATGTTAACCACACTACATCTGCCATATCTAGTGCCAGTAAGGCCTTTAGCCTAATACCAGGGCTCCTTACAGTTTTGCAATTAAGAGTTATTTGTTAATAGATTAATACACAACACCTCCTACAAGAAGAAAGAAAGTAAAAATAGGCCCAACCTACTGTCTTAACTTTTTCAACAACTGCACTATTCTAACATG